TTTTTTTTCATGTTATAACTATGTCTTACCGGTAAGACACAGTGTTAAAAACTAAAAGGATACAATTTGTGTCATTTAAAGGGACAAACACTTAACCATTGAAAGTAACAATCATGAAACCAAATGAATAATAGGACTATAATTATGGAATATGAAGGTCCATTGAACTATTTTGTTTTGGGTTATTGCACACACAAAGAATAGTCAAAAACCTAATTCCCAAATGTGAGAACTTTCCATCGTGCTTATGGCTGTTGCAAACAAGGGCGATGTTCTCTAACGTGAGATATTCAAACTTTAAGGAATAGAGATAATGAAAGAGGAGACGAAGGACAATGCTTATTATACATATAATTATTATATTTGTGTGTTTTCATGTCCTTAGGATAATATTTGGTTTATTACTTATTATGTTGTGAGAGGAAAGTGAAATTCTTATGTTTGAAATGTTTACTGAAAATGTTAGTGAATTTTTATATATTTGCTTTGATATATAATTAACGACAATTGTTCATTTGAATTTTCAATATTATGTGACATTATTTAGTACATAATTTAGATAACTATGTTATAATTCATAGTAAATTTTTTCCTGATAAATTTGTGTAATTACGATAAATATTTTGATAATTTAATATGTCAAATTTTTTAACACCATCTAAATTTTTGAGTCGGCTCCGCCACTGAATATGTGCATATATGCACTAAATTTGGGAAAGAAGAGAAGAGAAATGGAATATGCAAAATGAAATAAAAATGAAGAGGGATGGGAAAACTCAGAGTATAAAAATTTCAACTTAATAAAAAATATAGTTGGTATTTGAATCAAGAGCCAGGGTGGAAAAGTGTAATAAGAAAATTGATTTGGACATGGAATGGGTTAGAACTTAGGAGGGAAAATAAAATATATAATTGCTGCGCGGTGAAAATAACGAAAAGACCGCAAAATTCGGTAACTAAGGTAAAGTAACATTTAGCTATTAATAATTAAAGTAATGTTAAACACATACAAGCACATTTATAATTTTATATTTATATAATTGTAGCATTTAATTGAAGTTAGTTTAAAATTAATTTTTATCTATTTATACTCTAGATAATTCTTGTACTTCAAATGAATGTGAAATAATGTGATTTACTTTTATAAGATATAAATCAAGGAATTTTCTAATATTTAATATTGATTTTTGAAGACTTTTCCATAAGGTAGTGTTTGGTTCAGGAGAAATTTTATTTTACTAGGGAAATGTAAATACTGGGGATCTGCGGAGAAAGTGAGTTATATAGGAAAGTTTAAAAAATGTTGTTTGGTTGGACAAAATTTTACCAGGAAAATTGAGTTAAATAACTGAATGTGTGTTTGGTTGAAGATAAAATATTGATGAAAAAATTTAATAAAATTACAAAAAAATCCCAAAAGAAATAAGGTAATATTGTTTTAAAACTTATTGAATATGTTTTGAGTGATTATTGCAGTTGCACTGCATTGTACTGTTCATGCCATTTCTGACTTTGTTATGCACGCAATGGGCAGTGCAATCTTGTCATGCTCATGCACCCATTTTTTATTTAACACTGTTGAAATTCAACTTTCACTTGTTATCATCAATTGCTAGACTTCCTTCATTGATGGGCAACAGAGACCAAATCCTTCTACCAAACGTGGAGAAGGAACAATCCCACTTTCACTTTGCCAGGAAAATATTGACTTCTCCCCAACCAAACACTACCTAAGTAGTGGTTATGTCAGTTATATTTGTGTGAAAAATAATGTTGACATATATTTAAAATTTTAAATGCATAATGCCTCTCATTTGTACGTTTTTTTTATCTTTTAATTATAATTAGTTTTACTATTATTTGTTCGCTTATATTTTAAGTTGACCATATAAAGCTAATATAAGCCTAGATTGACGTGCATTAAACATTTTCCTTGCGTGAACCAAAAAAGGAGAGTACATCACGTGCGGTGTACTCTGTAAATCAACTTGAGGAAGCCTCACGATTCATGGGATGGGAGACACTACAATCCTGAGATACGAGACATTACACTGGGGCGTGCCATTCATGTGAGATGCCTTTCTTGTAACATTCAAAATCTTCTATCTCTATTTAAAAAAAGAAAAAAGAAAAATCTTCTCTCTCTGCTCTGCTGGTCCTCCAGGATAAGGCCGCACAGTGACTAAAATAAGTGAATGAAAAGAGAATGATTGGGGAATGTTTAAAGAATTGTAGTGTTCGCTATAGGATAGTAATATGCTTAGATAAAATACAAGGATTTGATGTTCTGATCTGGGTTTTGAGATATATAATAAAATGGGGACCAATGAGATGTGGAAAACGACGTATACAGTTACAATAAACAGTAATTTTTGACCAGGGATTCTCATGTTTGTTTCGTCTATTCCGTCATTTTAAGTAATACGAGGCATGTTAAGGTCTCTTTTGTTGTTTTGTACACAAACTTTTCGGAGCCTTATCGCGGATTGTCCTATATTTAGTTGCGTAGAAATGACTAAAACTATGTGTGTGCTTATATATATCGATTTTATGTTATAGGAAATAAAATTACTTTATATATATATAAAAATATATGGGTCCATATGAGATCATATGAAAAGAAGATAGAGAAAAAGAAAATATAAATTTCGTACATTTTTATATATATAGGAGAATTTTTTTATCTCTTATAATATAAGAGACATTAAACTATTATAACATTTTACATTGGGTCCCCAACTTTTTCTTTAACTGCATAAGAGATTTTGTACAACAATCAATTATAACTATGTCGTATTAGTAAGATATAATCGTAATATTAAAGTTATTTTTTCTCTATCTGCCACATCAGCCAACAACCTTTTGAGAAGAGGAAAAAAAAAACAGCTTTAAAATTACAATTATATTTTACTGGTAAGATACAGTTATAATTGATTAATGCAAAAAATCTCTTCTCTCACAAAAGGAGAAATACATTTCCCATTTACATTATAAGCCAGAGTCCAGAATCTGTTGAGAAAGAAATCTTATTTTAATAAAAAAATTATCATAAATCAATATGAATGAGATTATTTCAATTTAACTTCAAATCTAAGTAGGGATATAAATAAGTCAGGTGACCTATTAGAGAATTATAACTTAACCTATATCAATTCAAACTTGACCTAATATATCAAGTAAAATAGAACAGAATTAAACCTTAGAAAAAGCTCGCTTAAAAAATAGTTCATAAATTTGTTTTAGGGAAATAGAAGAGTTATGTAACAGGAATCACAAATTTTTTTCCTGCACTCACAGCTTTCATCGATAACAATGCCATTTTTTCTTTTTTCTTTTTTTAATTCGTGGGTCCCACTGAAAGTTGTATCCACTGGAAAATCATTTTGGTTCCTGTTACATAACTTTAACATTTCTCTTTGTTTTAACCAGATCTAACCTACAAGCATAAAAGGTTAGCGTATATCGTATTATTTATTTTAATTAAAATAAAATAAATATTTAAATAATTTTAATTAATAAAATAATAATAAATTTTTTTAAATTTTTAATAGAAATATAAACTTGATAGACTTAAATAGATTAACAAGCGTAGACAAAACTTTTTGATTTTTTAATATAAGTCGGTCAAACTTATAATTTAACTTATATCAGGCTAATAAGTGAGGTCATCTTCCAAGACCATTTAGAATAAAGTCTAGCATAACCTAGCTCATTTATAAAATTGGTTAGGTGCCATGCTATTACGACGACTTATAATCTTAAATGAATCGGTTAAAAAATTGCTAAAAAATTTAATATAAATTTTGAATAAAAATGAGTAAATATCAACTAGACAGCTGGTTCATTCCTTTCACGTACAAATTATAGTGTTAGGTGCCATGCTATTACGACGACTAGCTAATTATGTATTTGTCCAACGTTAACGATCATATTTGTAGCTAGCTTTATCCAAGGTTTTTACCAAAGTGAGAAAAGTAAAGAAACAGTGGATATACGAATTACCAATCATTTAGAGTAGAGGGGTAGGGGCCACAAAAGAGGAAAATTAAAATAAAATAAAATAAAATGTATCTTTTTTTTTTTTGGTGGACAAAATGTATCTTCTTATATGTTAATTAATATAATGATATTATTATTTATGAATAAATCAATGGTGATGAAGAATGAAAAAAAAAATATTAAAATGAAGAATGACAAAATCATAATTATTAATTTAACTATAAATAATTAGCATCATCTCACATGTTATATCATATTAATTAACAATGAGAGGATCATTCCAACCCAAAAACGATTTCTTGATTATATGATGACCCGTGAGTGAGCGAGCCAAAAGCTTAACTGTCTCAAATCCCCCCACACTGCCCACCATTACATGACAAATCCCAACTCCCACATACAAACAAATATGCTGGCCGGCTGCTTCACATGCCACCAAAATCCAACACAAGCAGTGGTGCTTGCTACCCTCTCTCTCTCTCTCTTCTCTTTTTTCAGACCTATCTCTCTCGTGCCCTCTCTTTCCTCGCGAGGGAAAATCAGAAAAGTGAGAGGGATTAGATTAGACTCTTTTGTAGCCATGAAAACGGTTTTCATTTCACTGCTCCTTTAGCCTTTTGGCTCTTTTGCACAACTGAAAAAGCCTGAAATTTTCCAAGAACGGTCTCTTTTATCCGAATTTGACTTGAGACGTATTTTTGGGTAGAGAGTTCCCCCTAATGACTAGTCTCTTTTCGGAAGAAGGATAATATCCTAAACAAAAAGCTGAAATGTCTATTTTCCTTTGATTCATTTGCAGAATTCTCCCAAACACTAGTGCTAATTTCACCACAAATTGGATCGTTTCCCAATGGAAAAGGTACCCACTACAAGTCAGGTCCCTTTCTCTTTTTTCTGCCTTATTCTGATTTCTGATTAATTCCCGTTTTCCCCCCCTCCCTCTCTTTTGTGCTCCAACTCTATTCTCATATTTTGTACTCTCTCTCTCTCTCTCTTTGTCAATGACGCAATTCACACCAACACTACCACCTTTGCACCAAACCACACACTTTTCAAACACTAGCATGAACAAAAATCAACTTCCTAGGACTAGGCCCTGGCCTGGGTTCCCCACATCTAAGGCCCTAGGTAACTTCGGCGACGCCAATTGTATGGAACAGTTACTTGTTCACTGTGCCAACGCTATAGAAATCAACGATGTAACACTTGCCCAACAGATCCTTTGGGTCCTCAACAACATAGCACCCCCTGACGGTGACTGCAATCAGCGCCTAGCTGGTAGCTTCCTTCGCGCTCTCACAGCCCGCGCTGCCAAAACCGGAAGTTGCAAAATGCTTGCCGCCGTGGCAGACTCCGCTCATAGCAATCTCGCCATAGACACTCACAAATTCTCTGTCATCGAGTTAGCCAACTTCGTTGACTTGACTCCTTGGCATCGCTTTGGTTTCACAGCAGCTAATGCTTCCATTCTAGAAGCTACCGAAGGATTCTCAGTCATTCATATAGTGGACTTAAGTTTGACACATTGCATGCAAATTCCCACGCTCATTGATGCCATTGCTAGCAGACAACAAGTTCCACCTCTAATCAAGCTCACAGTTGCTGGTGCTACCTGCAGAGACATTCCACCTATGCTTGACCTCTCCTATGAAGAATTGGGTACCAAGTTGGTTAATTTCGCTAGGTCAAAAAACGTGATTATGGAATTCACAGTTGTTTCTTCAAGTTATGAAGATGGGTTCGCTGCTTTGATCGAACACCTGCGGGTGCAACATTTAGTGTACGCGGCAGAAGGTCGTCCAACTGAAGCTTTGGTCATAAACTGTCACATGATGCTTCATTACATTCCTGACGAAACTATATCAGAATTTACAGATGCATTTTCAAACTCTTATGTTTGTGATTCTTCTTCTGCTGCTACTACTTCGTCCTTGCGATCAATGTTCCTCAAAGCCTTGCGGACTTTAGACCCAACCATTGTAGTTTTGGTAGATGAAGATGCAGATTTAACATCCAATAATTTGGTTAGCAGATTAAGGTCTGCGTTTAATTATCTGTGGATACCATACGACACGGTGGACACGTTCCTTCCACGAGGCAGTAAACAAAGGCAGTGGTATGAAGCGGATATTTGTTGGAAGATTGAGAATGTGATAGCACATGAAGGGCTTCAGAGGGTTGAGCGGGTTGAGCCAAAAAGCAGGTGGGAACAACGAATGAGAAATGCTAACTTTCATGGGATCAGTTTCAGTGAGGATTCAGTTTCGGAGGTGAAAGCCATGCTCGATGAACATGCAGCTGGATGGGGATTAAAGAAGGAGGATGAGCATCTTGTGCTCACATGGAAAGGACATAATGTTATCTTTGCCTCTGCTTGGTTGCCTGCTTGAGTGCCATTTTTTTTACTCATTTTGTATGAATAACAAACATTTTGCCTTCTCATTTTTAGTCTTTAGCTTTCAACGCGCGTCTTGGAAAATCATTATAATTCTTCTTTGTCCACTGTAATTTTTAAGAGTAAATGAGTAGCTGATAAGTATTGTTGGTTGTCTTTCAGTTTTTTGTCAGAGAGAGATAGCTTATATAATTTATATTATATATTAACAAATTAGAAGTCTATTAATGTGTTTGAGAAATATAAACTTATTAACGTAATCTCATCTAATAGGTTAAACTTTTGGTTTGAATTACGTTCCATTTAATTAATAATTAATTAAATCTTGTGGAGTTTCTTAATTAACACAGATAGGCTAAGCTTGATGTATCATTCATTCTTCAACTCCAATGAGTTTTTATGTGAGAGAGCGGGTTAAAAAAATATAAAGTTATTAATATAGTCTCACATAATAACTTAAATTTTTGAGTTAAACTGATTACGCAGAATGGAAAATTGGAGAATTTTGACATAATACACCATACACCAAAACCGTTTTATATTAATAGTTTTATATTTAATATTTTATACTTCACCACTTGAACTAACACTCAAGGTCGATTTAAAATTTTAAATAAGAGGTCATAATTTGTGACTTTATGTCATGACAGTCTATGTTATGTTGAATATTTTTTACATCTAATTTGCTTCTCTTCGGGTCGTATCCCAATTTCCTAGCTTCATTATGATATGAATGGTAATAAACTCAGATGTCGATATAAGGTTGCTGACTTGCTGGCCATTTAGGAATTACAACCAATCTTCACGCAGAGCTGAAAGCAATTAAGCATGGTTTACCGTATGCTTGCTTGCATGGATACGTATGAAATTAAATCACAGATCCCCTTTCCCTGTGCCTTCCCTCCTCCAATTAAAAAATTACAGTCCGGGAAAAAAAACAATGATAATTAAGAGCGAAAATATTGTCATTAAAAAATAAAAATCACTCTCCGTTAGACTCGACTAGTGAGGGTTGGGTGAAGGTAATCCTTGTAAAGAGCTTTACTCTCGTATAATTTCCAGTTCACCCCCTTTAAAATATTGTCATTTAAAAGAGTGAAAAAAAATAATTATTGAGATGCCATTTTTTAAATTGGAGACATAGGCAAAATTATACAAATAAACGAGACAGGTAATTTGAATAGGGTAAAATCGAATATCAAACATTACTGCAGTATAGGCTTATAAATCATGTTGAGATATATAGTCCCACATTGGTTGTATGTGCAACTAATGTGGAGTTTATAACGTCTTGGACATTCCCACCTTTTGAGCTAGCTTTTGGGGTGGTGACCTCAAGGTTCTTAACATGGTATCAGAGTCTTACCGTCCTCCACTTTAAAGTGGAATTAAAACAAAAAGAACAAAAGGTAAACCAAAATTTGGGCCTGTGTATAATCCACTCTTCAAGAGATGACTCTTGTGTGAGGGAGCGGTTTGAACACTTCCACCTTTTGAACTAGCTTTTGAGGTGGTGACCTCAAGGTTCTTAACAAATCAGATATCGGATATGTGGCTTTCAATTGCATGGGAATGTTACTTTTAAGTTTAAGCGTGTTCTACAAGAAGCGATCTCTTCTGCATAGTGCACGTATCCTTGGGGATGCTTCTCCAGTTGTTTATCAGTCTCCTCCTGCAGGATTGGGGTGGTTAATCCCTGCTAATTAATAGCATGGATGTTTGTTTTGTTAGGGGTTCGGTCTTTACTTTGCTTTCTGTTGCGCCAAAAAATTAAATAGTAATAATTCCGTACGAAAATTTACAAGATGGCGTCTAACAATATATACACACAGAAAATGTTTTTGTATCACAATAGATAAAAAGAAGAATTAAGCAAGTTTATTTTTCGGATAAAAATTTCTTGTATACTTTTTTGTTTAGTAATTTATACTTTTAAGTTTTTTGCCCTGTGTCACCTAATTTTAATAAATTGTAATAATAATGATTAAGAAAATATGTTTATTAATGTTTAAAAAGAAAATATATTTTCTAATATTGTTTTTAACAATAAATAACGTATTATATTTTCTGAAGAAATGTTATTAAGGGAAAATAAGTCCTCTATGAACATACCTAATGGGTAATTTGGAATTGACAATTTCATATTATCAAAATAATTGTTTATATACGAGTATTTTTTTACGACAAAAAAGAAGAAGATAAATTAACTATTAAATTATTATTATTTGTAATAAATTTAATATTTATAAATTTACAATGCTTTCGAAAGATAAAAAGAAGAATTAAGCAAGTTTATTTTTCGGATAAAAATTTCTTGTATACTTTTTTGTTTAGTAATTTATACTTTTAAGTTTTTTGCCCTGTGTCACCTAATTTTAATAAATTGTAATAATAATGATTAAGAAAATATGTTTATTAATGTTTAAAAAGAAAATATATTTTCTAATATTGTTTTTAAAATTAAATAACGTATTATATTTTCTGAAGAAATGTTATTAAGGGAAAATAAGTCCTCTATGAACATACCTAATGGGTAATTTGGAATTGACAATTTCATATTATCAAAATAATTGTTTATATACGAGTATTTTTTTACGACAAAAAAGAAGAAGATAAATTAACTATTAAATTATTATTATTTGTAATAAATTTAATATTTATAAATTTACAATGCTTTCGAAAGATAAAAAGAAGAATTAAGCAAGTTTATTTTTCGGATAAAAATTTCTTGTATACTTTTTTGTTTAGTAATTTATACTTTTAATTTTTTTGCCCTGTGTCACCTAATTTTAATAAATTGTAATAATAATGATTAAGAAAATATGTTTATTAATGTTTAAAAAGAAAATATATTTTCTAATATTGTTTTTAACAATAAATAACGTATTATATTTTCTGAAGAAATGTTATTAAGGGAAAATAAGTCCTCTATGAACATACCTAATGGGTAATTTGGAATTGACAATTTCATGTTATCAAAATAATTGTTTATATACGAGTATTTTTTTACGACAAAAAAGAAGAAGATAAATTAACTATTAAATTATTATTATTTGTAATAAATTTAATATTTATAAATTTACAATGCTTTCGAAAGATAAAAAGAAGAATTAAGCAAGTTTATTTTTCGGATAAAAATTTCTTGTATACTTTTTTGTTTAGTAATTTATACTTTTAATTTTTTTGCCCTGTGTCACCTAATTTTAATAAATTGTAATAATAATGATTAAGAAAATATGTTTATTAATGTTTAAAAAGAAAATATATTTTCTAATATTGTTTTTAACAATAAATAACGTATTATATTTTCTGAAGAAATGTTATTAAGGGAAAATAAGTCCTCTATGAACATACCTAATGGGTAATTTGGAATTGACAATTTCATATTATCAAAATAATTGTTTATATACGAGTATTTTTTTACGACAAAAAAGAAGAAGATAAATTAACTATTAAATTATTATTATTTGTAATAAATTTAATATTTATAAATTTACAATGCTTTCGAAAGATAAAAAGAAGAATTAAGCAAGTTTATTTTTCGGATAAAAATTTCTTGTATACTTTTTTGTTTAGTAATTTATACTTTTAATTTTTTTGCCCTGTGTCACCTAATTTTAATAAATTGTAATAATAATGATTAAGAAAATATGTTTATTAATGTTTAAAAAGAAAATATATTTTCTAATATTGTTTTTAACAATAAATAACGTATTATATTTTCTGAAGAAATGTTATTAAGGGAAAATAAGTCCTCTATGAACATACCTAATGGGTAATTTGGAATTGACAATTTCATATTATCAAAATAATTGTTTATGTACGAGTATTTTTTTACGACAAAAAAGAAGAAGAACTATTAAATTATTTTCATATTATCAAAATAATTGATAAATTAACTATTAAATTATTATTATTTGTAATAAATTTAATATTTATAAATTTACAATGCTTTCGAAAGAACATGTAAAAAAAATGAGAATAATGTAGGCTACTAATTACTATTTTACTGAATAATCTAAATGTGAGATTTTAAAATAATAATTTTTATATTATTTACGATCTTAATTATTACATATCAATTATTACTTAAATAACAATTAATATTTATATCAGGTGAGAAAATAGAAAGGAGAGAGAGAGAGAGAAAAAAAATTGAGATGAAAAATGAGGATTGGGCTTGCAAAAAGAAAATAAAAATTACACAATCAATACAGATTTAAGATTATTCCTGAAATAAAATAGATTTGAATTTTTTTCAAAATACAAAAAATGAAAATAAATTATCAAATTAGAATTGATAATAATAAATTTCATTTTTTAAAATTTTCAAGGATTTAAAAAATCATGGTTGATAATTTTTTAATTATTACATATTAATTATTACTTAAATAACAGTTAATATTTATATCAGGTGAGAGAATAGAAAGGGGAGGGAGAGAGAGAGGGAGAGTGAAATTTGAGATGAGAAATGAGGATTGGGCTTGCAAAAAGAAAATAAAAATTACACAATCAATACAGATTTAAGATTATGCCTGAAATAAAATAGATTTGAATTTTTTTCAAAATACAAAAAATAAAAATAAATTATCAAATTAGAATTGATAATAATAAATTTCATCTTTTAAAATTTACAAGTATTTAAAAAATCATGCAGGTTGAGCATTTTATTATTATTTTAATTATTTAATGAATACATAAATTTAATGTTATTTTTAAAAATAATAATAGTTACATTATTTATGATTTTAATTGTAATATAATAATTTATTTATGACGGTAAATAACATTAACCTTAAATGAGAGATAAAAATGTGAATGAAACAAGAATAGTGCCATGTAGCAAATTAGTTAGGCATCACTCCCATGCATAACTGATTGCATTATTTTGATAAGTTACTTAAATTGAATAATATTTTTTATAATTTGCATTAAATCTCTTGTGCCACGTGATACCTTGATCTAGCTAATGGGTCAACAAATTTTATTTTTTTT